CGATATAATAACTGATCTGGCCGTTAGCGCCCATCGTGCTGTTAAAGCTGACACCCGCACCCAGGTCGAAGTGACTGTCCCTGGTATAGTTGAAAGATTCACCGTTCGGATTTGACGCACTGTAGGCACCATTCATGTACTGCTCGTCCAGCGTCATTTTAGACATGTTTACAGAACGCTGGATGTAGCCACCCGTAAAGCCTACGGACAGGTAACTGCCATGCCTGTCTTCCAGTGATTTGTTATAGTTGATCGCCGGATAGACCTGCAGACTGTTGAAATCAATAGAACCTGCATGATCATAAGAGGCGCACAGCCCGATGCTGAGATAGTCATTTGTTTCCCTGCTTACACGCACGCGGCTTTCCACAGATGCCAGTACCGTCTGGAACGGGTTAGAGATATTACCCCATTGGGTGCGGTAGTTTACACCGGCTTTATAATCACCCGTAAAAATGCCGGTAAGCCCGGGATTGCGGAAAATGGCATTTTCATAGAATTGAGAGAAGTGTATGTCCTGCGCCTTGCTTTCTACAGTACACATCAGTCCGGAGCTCACCATAAGAAGGGCGAAAAAGTGTTTCATACAATTGGTTTTGAAAATAAAATGTTTGTTTTTCTGAGTAATGACCTGCGGCCAGACGGCCCTCAACATAGTTGCAGGACCGTCTGTGCAGGGAGGGGAGTATTATCTTATCAGCGAGATATCGCCCTTTAATTCTACGGTGTCACCATTCGCACATTGCGCCAGGATTACGTAGACATAGACATCTGGTTTCAGTTGTTGGTTCTTGTAGAGGCCATCCCATCCGTAACTCGCATCATCTGTAGGTACATTAGCACGGTCATAAAGCACCTCGCCCCAGCGATTATAAATACGGAAACGTAAGACCCTATCGATACCACGACCATGTGGATAGAAACGGTCATTATGCCCGTCGCCATTCGGCGTAAATGTATTTGGCAACCAGACCTGTTTACCTTCACAGTTAATGAACAGGGTAACATCGTCCTTCGCCTGGCAGCCAAATTCACTGGCAACATTAACCGTATAAGTCGTTGTTTTCTGTGGTGCTGCTATTGGGCTGGCACAGGTAGTGCAGCTTAGCCCGTCGGAAGGGGTCCAGAGATACGTTGTTATATCAGTACCGGTAGGTTGCAGCTGGGTAGAGGAGCCGCCTGTAATATTCTTGTCTGGTCCGGCATCTACGGTAGGCAGTGGATGCACGACTACGGTAGCAGATAAAGTATCTGCGAAGCAATACCCTTGTCTGATCACCACCCGGTAAGCGGTTGT